ATAATCGCTACGCCATTCCTGGCGCTGGCTGGTCACTACCTTCAGCTTCTTGTAGCCTTTGCCGCAACAATTTCTTCTCCAACGTCTTTTGCGCCACAAGATCTTCGTAGGCCTTGCGTTCGTCCCAGTTTTCTGAGGCCTTTCTTCGGAATTTCAAAAATCCAAGCATTCCGAGCAGGTTGTTCCAAAATCCCATGAAAAAGGATCGGATGCTGAAAAAGGTTCCACTGCTGGTCTTTTTGGCCTTGATGGCCTTGATTTGTAGCACAAGTTCTCCGGCAGATGCGTCGGCTGCGCTGGCCGGGACGGTCTCGACGCACGGGCGAACCCATTTTCCGTTCATCATGCATTCGCAGGTTCCGCACTCGCCCTTGCCGCATCCGTATTGGATGTATTGTCCAGCTTGGGAGGCAACATCGCGGATAGGTTGGCCGGCCCAGGCCATGCTGGTTCTGGTCTCGTTGCCCTGTCGGAAGACGACGGGAATAGTACCCTTCAGGCCGACGCCATCAAATCCCAGCGATCCGGTGTCGCCGGCAGAATCCGCGAGGGTTTCCTTCTTAACCCATTTTGGAACGTATTTCTTGTTCTTTTTCTTGCTGCCTCCTGCGGCAGTCGACGCTTGTAGGGAAGTCGTCGTTGTCGCAGAAATAGAGGGGAAACGCCTTGCTGTCGCTCTCGATCCAAAGGCCAAAGTGCTTGTAATGGTGGAGGATGCAAAATATGCGATTGCAATCCATAAAATGTTAACAGTGCGACGACTCATTGYGTGACTTGTGGTTTCGATAACGTTTTTGTTSTGTTGAATTCAATTTAAAATGGASAAGAGAAGACGATGGAAAATGGAAGATAAAGAAGAATTATGTTGAGAGTCAAAACGAAGCTGTCAAGAGTATCCGGGTGATGATCCCACTCATACCTTGCTTCAATTGAACAGAAGCAGGTGAAGGCCAGAATTCTCTGTATTCAGTACAATACCTTATCTGGTGGTGTGATACGAGTACGAGTACGAGTACGAACTACGGGAGTTAAAGTAAAAATGAGAGGATACAAATCACTTCCTCGAAAGATTTTCACGACCCACCCATCAACGACATAATGATGCATCAAATTTTGTCKTTACTTAAGGCCTGGACTGCACGAAAATGAAGAATGCATTCTGTATGTATTCTCTACAGATGGAAAAGGAACAATTATTTCAAAAAACGCTACAACTTACGTCAGCGCGGGGAAAGATACAATTTTGTAATTCCAGCTGGAAGACACAATTTTCTCTCCAGTTGGTGGAACCCGATTCTTGAATGTCTTTTCGGAGTTGATCCAATCATCATCCTCCGTTCCGGGTGGAATCCATCCATCAAATCCATCAAAATGAAAAAGACACGAACACAAACGGTGTWCGTCGATCTCCATGTTTCTTTGTTTTCTTSTAAAAGTATTACTACTTCGCATGTTTTGTCTTTTTGATCTACTGTGAATTGTGATTAGACGCTCTATCTGGATAAGAAAAAGCCATTGCGACATCCATAAAATTGAAAATCTTGCGTTTACAAGCAAAAATCTATCACAGAACAAACTGAGAGCAACGAAGTTCATTCGTTCAATTGYCTAGTTACTTCCTCAACACTTCGGATCACCAAGGTCTATCTCTTGTCCTCCGATCCGCACTACAACAGGTCGAACTCACAATTTTATATTTTTCTCGACGACAGTCATACAYAAATAAACAATGGCATCTATCTCCTTTTCATATGCGCTGCTGCTAGCAGTCGCGTGCATCGTATTTTCATCAACAACGGTGCAAGGCTTCCAATGGATGTCGAAATTCAAAATGCCGACTTACAACCCCAACGAAGATCTCATCGAACAAACATTTGGTGACAGAAGTGAGTTTCTTTCTTGTGAACGCTATTTTCGTAGATTGCATGTATGCAAGAAGCAATATTGTATCAACTGCTTCCTCKCCTCACCYTATCGACGTCWCGTTTCTCATACATATTCMCATGTACACATGTACGATTGTTTTCCTATTCTCCACACAATTGTRATCTTACTCCTTGCTGCTTCTGTTCGATCTTACAGAACTTGTCGTCRTTACCGGGACATCATCTGGATTGGGCCGCAAGGCCGCCCTAGCCTTGTTGAGATCGGGAGAATACCACGTCGTCGGTGCCGTCCGTGACCTGGACAAGATGGAAGCCGTCGCCGAAATAGATGGCTTTGACATGGACCATTTCACTCCTATGGAATGCGAATTAAATTCATTTGCMAGTGTGCGAAAATTCTGCGACAGCCTTGATGAATTCCGAATGGAAAAACCCATTGATCGGTTGATCTGCAACGCAGGAGTCTATCAGCCAACCCTAGATTATGCCAAGTGGAGTGTCGACAACCACGARCAGACGATGCAAATCAATTTCTTGTCGCATTTCTTGATGATTTCCAAGTTAATCCCGGGCATGATGGACTSCTCTGATCCCAGAGTAATCATGGTGGGAAGCGTTACCGGAAACGACAACACGGTCGGTGGAGGGGGAGTATACCCTATTGCCGACCTACACGAACTAGAGGGCTTCGAAAGAGGATTCAAGAAYCCCATTCCTATGGCAGACGGATACGGATTTATCGGTGCCAAGGCTTACAAGGATTCCAAGTTGTGCCTGATGATRATGGCAAATTTCTTGCACTACAAGTACAACAAGCTGACAGGGGTCACGTTCTGCTCAATGTATCCAGGATGCATTGCCGAATCGCCTCTCTTTCGTGAGAAGCGAGAATGGTTCCGTACCTACTTTCCCATTTTCATGAAATTCATTACGGGTAAGTTTCAGTTGGCAGAAAAATAAAATCCGACGAAGTGTTGGTTCTGCTCATTCATGTTTTGACAACTATGTTTCTCACTTTCGATAAAAATTTGAATTCCTAATTTCTGCAAATATTTTCATTTGCCGATGGCATATCTCGTTCCCATTTATATCACTCTGCAGGTGGTTTTGTTGGAGAACACGAGGCTGGACAACGACTTTTCCAGGTAGCCCACGATCCACGGTGTTCGAAATCGGGGGTCTACTGGTCTTGGAATGGTGGCCCACGTGAAGGACGCGGTGCTGAAGCTCTGGAAAAGGGTGGCCAAATCAGTGGAGGCGGAGGAGCCGGGGGCGGATGGGATTCCATTTTCGAAAATGACCAATCCTCAAAGGTCCTCAACATCGATACCGCAGCGAAATTATTCGATACGTCTACGAAAATCACAGRTGCCGAATGGCCGACCCTGAAACAAATTRCAAGTCCCTGCCCAACACTCAAGGTTATCGGCGCTGTTACGCAAGGCATGGTGAAGCGCGAAGAATTGAAACGCATGAGAGAACTGGGACGACCAGGTATGTCCGATGACGATTTGGAAGTGATGGATAAGGCCATCGAATTGGCTGAAGCCGAAGAATTGGCTGCCACCCAAGCTAAAACTGTCACCACACGTGTCGTAGAAGCGAARAAACCTGCGAAAAWWTTTTCSAAGCGACAACAGGTTGTAATGTTTGCTGACAAGGCCGTCGGATTTGTGTTAAAAAATACTATTGGTCGTGTAGCAGGCTTCATTGGAAGAAGGCTTTTGGGCCAGATCCCCGAAACTGCTAAGAACGGGTCCTACCATGAGGAGATAGAAGTAGTTGAAGAAGAAGAATATGCCGAAGCTACTGYGACTGTTGCTGCTGTCGTAGATCCAGAAGGAGTTGAACTCCTGGAGGAAGCGATTTCCGAACAACTCAAAGAAGATGCGTCATCCAGCAGCAAAATAGTCACTGATACCGAAGACAAGGATATTCTCGTATCAGCATAGAAGAAAGGACTGAAAGACAACAATCGTRTGTTCGCAACATCCTTGGTACTGCTGTGATGGAGGTGCCACAATTGAGTTTATTTATCTTTATACGTTTAAAATAGCCATTAATATTCAAACAAACCTCATAGAAGGAATGAAATGCCATTWAGTATATACGGTGCCCACAAACGTTGTGCATACGTGACACAGAGGAAATAAAGGCAGTCAAAATCAGGGATCTACAAACAAGACGACCATTCAATTGAACTTCGAAAATTGGKTAGGACAAATTTCAAATTTAATTTAATGTTTAAAACAAAATTGAAATACCTCTTGYATGTACTCACTACACTACAGTACATGGTACGTACGGTACGTACGTACTCTTATTAGTTGAAAGAGCTGTTCGACGGTTTTTCGCTTGAGTCGAATCGAAACGAGTCTCCCCGGGCGTTTGGACCGTACGTCGTACGTCTACACTCAGCAATCACATTTTACATTTGATTTTGTCAACGTCACTTTCCTCGAACATGATCAAAACGCGAAACGCAACACCTTTCTCGAAGGATGGACGAGACTCCTGCACAGATCAGTGAAGCCAATATAACGGACAAGGTTGCCTTTCTTCATCGAAACAAACTGCAGAATCAAAATTATCTCGCCCTCGTGATACATACTCTGCTTAGAAACGGCGGACGTTACACAAAACTTCAAAATGACCAAATTGCAGACAATAATCCTAGCTCTAAGCTTTGCGACTCAGGCTACATCCTTTTCACCACCCCAGGCATGCCAACAACAATTCGTACGCGGACAGAGCTTGCCGTCCACCCCCGCCGAAGGAGGGGAGGAGGAACCCAAGCTGCTTKTAGGAAACATCGAATCCGAGATGCAAAGCGTCCGGGCAGATTCGGGCACTGAGTACGACTTTGGAGCAATCGACTTCCTTGCCCTGGCGAAGGAACGGGCTTCGGCACAGGTAGAAAGCAACAACAACGTGGCGGGGGAAGACGAGTGGAAAAATCTCGCGGAAGAAAAGAAGGAGCAATTTGGCGAAATCGATGACTGGGAAAACTCYATGAAGGAAGCCGGAAACGCMGACAGCCAGATTCTCATGTTTACAGACACGTCCGAAGGGGACGAAGACGGCGAAGGCGGCGACGACGAACCCAAGCTGTTGCTGTTTTAGAAAATCGGAATCGATTCCGAACCCTGCCGGATTAGATACACTCATGCAGCGCTAAAATCACAAAAGTGCTGCTCTAGGATTTTTAGTGGCAACACCTATATGCTCGACGACGATTATATTCCGTTGCCATATGTTATTTTTACTCTCTGGGGAAACCRATGGCATACATTCTCAACCAACAAATTAATAAGCAAGATGCAAACAAGGAATTAAACATTMAACAAGATCCAGTGATCTAYTTTCAAAGCAGGCAGTCTTTGGGACGAAASATGAAGCAGCASAAAGCGGCATTCGCTTTCAATTTACCGTTATGCATCGCAACATCACGACCATACCACTAAAATTAATGCCTTGGAGTCTTTCCCTGTATTTAATCAACATGGAGATAGTATTCCAACTACTGATTGTTTAGTTCGAAGTAGGAAAGCACTATTTGACTGACGTGCCAACACGCACCATACTACTACTASTAGTAACATCTGTTGAGTATTTTGCGTGTTTTCGCATTRGTCAAAGATCATACCAGCYGTAACATAGCAGAGTTGACAAAGAAAAGTRATGAYGATGCASCATAGCARCGTTTGCATAGATACAACAACAAATTCACCTMTAAAATKAAACCAATGCAATGACATTTCTTCCTTGGTTGCCATCAAGGTAGATTTCCTCGCCATCCTTTTCTTTTTCGCTGTTGCCATGGGGGAGGGTTCCTCCAGGAAACCAATGCCAGACATGAACCACTTTTAGAGTGCATGTTCAAAGGAAAAAATTGTCAGAAACTCTTCCATGTTTTAGAATGCCACAATATGTTCTTCCTCATCTGGTTTTGGATCAACAATGATGGGATTGGATCTTGTTGCATGTGACTCGTTAGGTCCCATGCGGTTAAGGAGGGGAGCAATGCATGGGATGGTGCGYAGTACACCATGAACCATACAAGGGGAGGTGCTGTGTTTCTCAACAGAAAAATCTAAAGAGGACCAAGCCCTKCTTTATTTCCATAACGATGCTTTCGAAATCTTTGTGAACATCATCGACACTTTTACCYAGCATAAAGGGCTTGTTAGAGCCCAAATGCAAATGGCATTCATCTATGAACTGAAGCAAATAGCCAACCGGGGTTAAAAATCAAGTTCCAAATCTGCCACAARACTGTTCTGAACTTGTTCCATCCTTCCTTACAMCGAAGATATCAAAGTCTTTGGATCAATGCGGGGACCAATGGTTTCATCCCTTGGTTTTTCCCAATTCCAATTTGTGACAAAAAGTTGAAACAAAGCACAAGCATTAATATAAAAAAAAGTGGAATTGTCAATTGGAGTTCGGCGACAGGCAAGACATTGCAATGATGTTAGATTGTCCATGATCCTTGTTCCTCCCTTCTTGCAATCGAACTTGTATTTTTTCCCAGTCCATTGAGCATTAACTCGCTCTTAATCAAATGAAGTAGCTGAAAATCTGACCGTGCAGGGTCCGCTCCTGCTGTTCCTCTTTTTTCTTGATTTTCTCTAGCAATTCCTTCACTCTTTGATGGGGTCGTTTGTTCTCCTGCTYGAGTTCATCATTCGTAGGTGTAGGTGCACCATTTTGGTTCTTGTTCTCTTTTCTAGTTCTCGGCATCTTGTTGATAAATGAATTGCTGATTTGAAAAACGTCGATGCATAACAGATCGATTTCAAAACCATCGATTCATGCCAATGTCGACAACCGACGATTAAGAGATGTCGATCCCCGCCAGGACCAACGTTAAGATCAACAATTTGTTCCAACGTCGATCCATGCCAAGCGATCCATGCCAAGCGATCCGTGCCAAGCGATCCGTGCCAAGCGATCCATGCCAAGCGATCCGTAAAAGCTCAACGCTTTTCAAATCAGATTCTCATTTTTCTCTCTACACCCAAATTTTCGGACAACAGACGATCCATGCCAACAAAACTTTAGAATACTTTACAATAACGGGGATCACCCAAGATTATGTACCGGTATGAAGAAAACCGAATTTTTTTGAAATCACAGTTCTTTCTTGTATCCACGTAGGATCCACSTACAGTAAAACTCATACAAAGAGTACGTAAGTTGGCTTTCAAGCACAGCACCGGCCTTTCACACCACGGAGCGTGTATTTCTCGGGAATAATCCGATGCAAAAATTTGGCGCGCACCTTGAAAGAGATGTATGTATCACGCCGGCCAGTGCWCGTASGCACAGYAGGAACGTTAGTAGACCCACCRGTAGCAAACGATTTGTTCGCGCAACATGTATGTGACATCCAACATTTTTCTACCTTAGTTCGAACAGTACTAAACTACTGTATTATTTTTGAAAGGCGGCGACACATTCTGAGACAAGAGAGACAGAACGATTTGTCCCACGTTTTGTGTTTTTTGGTTCACTCTCCTTCAGAGCGAACACTAAGTGACAAAAGTACTACGACTAATTTTTCTAGCCTTATGAGGCTAAATCACGAAGAAGAAAGAGCTCAGTTGTTATTGTTACGGCGCGTACAGTACGTGGTCTACTGTATCGTACCGCACGCATTCTGCYTCAGTCGAGAGAACTATGATCACATATCTATTCTTGTTGTTGCGATTCGAGTTCTTTGTTTCGAGGCATCTCTCGGTCTCACTTCCATCCAAACCACCCGCAAAAGAGTGCGACACCCGAACCGCAAAGCCAAACAACCAACRCKTCCCATCGATGAGCAGCAACAACCGATTCCGAAACGCCGCCCAAACACCCMRAAGCAGAACCGCCACCATCGATGTTCCCCGCCGCCGCCAAACCCCGCGGTGGCCGAAGCCCTCCGAAGGAGGAGCAGGAGGGGAACGAGACGGCCACCGGACGGTTTCCAGCAGGAGGCTCGTCGTCCCGGCCCCGAGGGCGGCGATCCGGGCCAGCACCGATCGAACGCCGAGGCGGGATTGGAATCCGCGGTCCGAGCGGCCACCTGGCCGACGGATCCGCACGCGGGAGGCCCTCGAGAAGAGCGGAGACCCGTCCGGKGCCGTCGCCCTCGGCCACACGGGCCGCTACCCGCCCCGAGAGGATCAGCAGCAGCAGAAACAGAAACGGACGCTTCAACAGCCTTCCAGGCCCAGCGCCGGCGATGGCATCGGGGCCATGGAACAGAGCATGGCCCAACGGAGCTTTCTCCGAACGGCGGCGATCCGCGACGGAATGAAGAAACGCCAGCGGCAACGAGAGTGGGAGGCCACCGGAAGGCCCGGCGACTCAGCGAGCGTTACCACCGCGAAGAAGCGAATGCRGCAACACACCAAGACCAAGAACATCCGGCCGTCCCATCTTCAAACGCAACGGCAACACCCGGGGAGTCTGCCACTTGCCAAAACCATGCAACGAAGACTCCCGCAAACCCAAACGAAGCACYATCACCAGAAGCCACGGCGGCACCTTTTGCTGCAGCAAACAAAACAAAGGCAAAAGCAAAAGCAAAAACAGAAAACGACCGTCCATGGGCAACGTGTCGGAAGCGATCCGGCAGGGCCCTTTGTTAGGAGGAACAGCAGCAGCAGTGGCAAGAACCATAACAATTTCCATAACTATAATCATGACCAGAATCACAACAGTAGCACCACCAAATCAAGGAAGAAGATGGACGAAAAGTTATCGCCAAATGAAGCAAATGCTGCCAACGAAAGATTTTTTGCAGCCAACGCCTCGCCAAGTGTTGCCAACCTTTTGATTAGTGACAGCGAGAGCGAGGTCGAGAGCATCTGTAGCAGCTCCGACGACACTTTTGATCACAAGGATGACCATCAGGCCTCCAACAAGGCTGACAACATCATTTCCAACAACAACAGCATGCAATCGAGGGAAAGTGCAAACGCCAAAAATATCAAACACGGCAACGCAAACGACAACAACAGAGTRCAAACCGTAGCGCGACGATACCAACCATTGTTGGCTGTAGGGAGTGCAGCATCGGAACGGAGAGAACCCTWCCCGAGAGGAACACCGGCTTCCGCACCCTCGATGCCCGTGCAAGCCATAGAACACATCAAGATCGAAGAACCGTCCGTGATTGATCTTTCCAACGAACGAGACACCGACGACAMCGTCAAGGTGGAACGGGAGCGTTCCCCGGCGCGCCAAAAGGCTTCCGGGATCAGCGGAAACGCCACGGTCCGAGCCATTGCGGAGGTCCTCCTCAACGAGGCYATCGGGCGGGGTGCCGAYCGCCACGAAATGGAGCGGTACGCCTCGGAATTGTTCCGCCTCGGGCTCCACTCGAGGAAGATGATACTGGATGCCCTGTCGGACGAGCGCTACGTTCCGAACCTGGAGCAGGAGGTCCGCAAATGGCACTGGATGAAGGGCTACCACAAGATTGTCTTTCAGAGCTGGGTCCTAAAGGAGAAAGAACGCAAGGAGCAGGAGCTGCGAGAGCAACAGGAACAGCAGCAGCAGCAACAACAGCAACATCAACAGCAACAACAGCAGCAACATCAACTTCAGCAGCAACAACTTCAGCAGCAGCAGCAACAACAACAACAACAGCAGCAGCAGCAGCAACAACAGCAACAACAGCAACAACAACAACAACAACAGCAGCAGCAGCATGATCGTCATCATCAAACCGAAGAAAGGAGCCAACACAGAGACGGCGTCATACACTATCCCATGCGACGAGTCGGAAGCTTCGATCTGTGATGATACCACGGTGCATCGCAGTCTGGAAATCTTTTTTTTTTAGAGAATGGATCGAATGCAAGGGAAAGACAATCCGATATGATCGAAACGAATTAGTGTTTCGCTCTCTCGCGCGGAGCAAGACGGACGAACGATGCTGCATGCATACATCTATTGCATGTATGAATTTGATTGAACGACCTTTTGCAGGGGTGAGCGCAGCAGAGAAAAGCCCATGGTAACATTTGGTTTGGTATCAGGAGGACGGCTTGATGATCAAGGAAGTGTCGCAACTAAATGAAAAGTATGAAAACATGAGATGTTGCGGCTTGCCTTTACTTAAGCTATAACACACAAGTGCACTATAGATTCACCATCATTTCTTTCATACTGAAGTATTATTTTTGTTACAACAAGAAGTGTAGTGCGTTAATATGTTCCTTTATGAATACAAAAAATAGGTGGAGTTGCTGGAAACGCACGAATTCAGACATGACAAATAATAAGCAATTATCGTGGTGGCATCAAACGAAACACTTGATTGCTTTAACCGCAAGGCGGTTGTGTCCCGGGCATCGATTGTGGCACGGCATGTAAATCGAGAAGGAGGAGCAAGCGGGCGGGCGAACGTT